AAAGACAGAGGGAAGGAGGGAGAGCCAGCCAGGAATTAGAAGCTGAAGGAGTTCTGTTGCGCCAGAAAACAGCACAAGGGGTTTTTTGCAACCGGTGGGTACAGTGATATTAAGTGTTATGAGGAAGTGTCAGAGTGTTCATATGGCCGGGCGTGGAGAGGCATCTCTACAGGCAGTTAAGATAAATTTGGTGGGAAACTGCTGGTTCACCTCTCTTCTGAAAGTGGAGCATTTTAAAATGCATGCTGCCATGCTCTCAGTTAAATTGGGTGTAGGGCTCCAGAGGAAGGGGATTTGCATTCTGCAAAATCTGTTTTAGAGTAATAACTTACAAACACCATGACTTTAGGCACAGTAAGCCCTCGGTAAATGTTGGTGTTGAAATGCCACATGGATCCAAAGTAGGAACTTAAAAATCCACACGCACCTCTTTACTTTCCAGTGTTTGAAGTATGCTATGTACAAGGCCTTCCAGAGAATAAACCTCTGGGATTTTTTTTCTTTTTCACTTAAGTCGCCTGCCCTTACTACACCTGCTCTGCGGTTCTCCACCATCCTCCATGGATCGTATGCAGCCCATTCCACAACCTGCCTCCTTCCTTCCCCTCGAGTGGAGATATCGTCCCAACCAATTTAATGATAAGGGGAGCCTCGTTTTAGTTCTCATTTCATTAGGTTGATTAAGAGTTCTACTTTCATGGATGAAACAACGTTGCCTGGACTGTGGGTGAATGGCTAGTTCAGTGGGGCCTTTCTAGTTCAACTGGGGCATCAGAAACCAGATGGTCATGGCTATCTTCACTGTATAGTGCCCAGAGGGAGTGAAGTCCTCCACATAATCTAAAGTTGTGAAGTAGAAAATGTCACTGTGACCTTTATTCAACGTGTTTTAAACTTGGGCTTTCTTTTTTATTGTTTTTAAAAACACTTTAATTTATTTTTAAATTAGGCAATGGTCGAATGAAACAAAATGTTTAAAGTTCAAAAGGTAAAAACTCTCCCTCCCACCCCTGTCCCCCAGCTTAGTCCCATTCTCGAAGGCAACTATAGTACCAATGTCTGTGTGTCCTCCGTGTGTCTTGTACATATACAAGCAGATGGATACACAAATACACACCTTACCCTCTCATTGTTTTACACAAAATGGCAGCATAGTATACACCCCGTTCTACACCTTGCGTTTTTCTTTTAATTACTTAACAGTATATTTTAGAAATCATTCCATATCAGTTATTGAGATTTATTTCAGCATGAATTCCAGACACACATGAACTAGCCCACATTCTGGTCACTTCTCTTTCCTCAGTACTTGGTACGTAGTTGATTTTCATCTGTGGTTTTCCCTGGTTTCCTCTAGGCCTAGTCGCCTTCTTTGAGTTGCCTTCCAAATAAAATATCTGAATAACCTTAAATGGAGGATTAGTAGCTTTACGTGATTGGTGTCGCACAACTGTGAATTTAAAGCATACCCCAAATGAGGTTCCTTAAGGTCATGAAGTGGAGACTCCAAGTATTGATCTGTCTTCTGAGGCTTTGGAATGTGTCCTTTTGTTCCAGAAACTAGAATGAACCGAAGTATTCCAGTGGAGGTCGATGAATCAGAACCATACCCAACTCAGCTGCTGAAACCAATCCCAGAATATTCCCTGGAAGAGGAATCAGAACGACCTGCTCCAGATAGAAGGAACATGGCACTCAATACATTGTCTGCACCAAAAACCCTTCACTTTTCCTCAGGAGGCCTTTCTCAAGCTCACCCAGCTCTGCAACTTGCCAACCACCACCGACCTGTGTCCCAGCAGGTCACCTGCCTGCGCACTACAGTCCTGGAGGAGAGTGAGGACAGCTTCTGCGGGAGACACCCAGCCCTGGGCAGAGATTTTCCCTCAGGTTCCTCTGCAGCCAGCAATCCTGAGTCTGAGTCTGTGGCTGAATCCCTGCCCTCGGAGCATCAGTTTTCATTTATGGAAAAACACAATCAATGGCTGAGATCTCAGCTTTCAGAAGCTTCTCCTGACACTGGCCATGACTCAGAAAAGTCAGACCAAAGTTTACCTACTGCCTCAGCAGATTCCTCGAGCAGTAGCCAAGAAACGGTGCAACAGCCGCAGCCCCCTAGGGGTCGAGCAGCCCCTGATCTGCCAACAATAGACACGGGGTATGATTCCCAGCCCCAGGACATCCTGGGCCTCAGGCAGCTGGAAAGGCCCCTGCCCCTCACCTCTGCATGTTATCTCCAGGACCTCCCCAGGCCTCTCAGGTCCAGGGAGTTCCTTCCATCTGAACCGCAGAGGTACCCAGCCTGTGCACAGATGCTGCCTCCCAACCCCTCCCCACACGCTCCATGGAATTATCATCACCATTACCCCAGAGATCCCGATCACCGGGTGCCACGTAAGTGATCCAGCCTCCTCTGGACATTCTGGGCTGGGTGGCTGCGGAAACAAGGGCCTCCTGTCAACACCTTGCGTCACTAGACCAGCACAGAATGCAGGGAGGGCATTCGCTTACAGGGGCGATCCATGCATGGCCTGATTTGCAAGGGGGCTTAAAAGAATGCTTTTTCTTACCCAAAGCCTGTCCCACTAAGAAGCACCTGCTTGGAAAACCTGCCTTTAGGCAGGGAGATGATCTGAATGACTACTAGAAAGTTTAATTGTTGTCCTAAGTTTTGGGCATCTGGGCTTCCTTCTTTGTATATTTCTTTTTCATCTCAGACTTGGCAGAGAAAGCCCATGGAACCAAAGGAAAAAACAAAAACCAAAAAACAAACAAAAAAACCCAGAAGATACCTAGAGTATCATTGAGACTTTGTACTCATGCCATTACATACAAATTAAGTTGCTCATAAGATTTTGTTGCTTAATTGTCTTCGAAGCCTTGAATCATCCATATTTACCCTATGTCTCAGCCATACCCAAGGACTAGCAGTTGCCCTAACTCGTTACCCTATGTCCCATGTCTGTTAGTCTACACTCTTCTTATCCAGGATATTCCACCGTATGCATCTTTTAAGACTTAGCTCCAGTGTTCCTCTGGCATCTTCCACAGGTCACTCTCCTTCAAGCCTTCTGTGTCCCTGAGCTCTGCCTCTGCCAGGACACCTAACACCAGTGTGGCATCTAATTATGCACGTGTTTGCCTCTTATTCAGCCTGCAAGCTTTTACATAATGGCAAAAATGTACTTTCAATCCATAATCCCCCAGCATTTAGCATAATGCCTGGTATATAATAGACCCTCAATGAACTATTTCTTTTTCTTTTTAAAATTTAAAATTTAATTTACCAGAGGATATGTGCACTTGTAAGAGAGAGACAGAGAGAAAGAGAGTAAGACAGCACTCCTATTGGGAATGTTAGGCTGCAATCCCTTCTCCTCTGTCTTTCCCTCCTGTTGGGATTTTGGACACACATGTACATGCACACAGTGTATTTTTCAAGCTGCCAGATCCAGGACTCAGACCACACAGTCAAGCATGTGAGATCCAAAGCCTTAACCATCACACCCCTGGCAGACCCTCGACAGACTATTTCTGAATGAGTGAGTGAATGAATATGTATCAGTGTAGTAAGCATCTCTGAAAGTGACTGTCTTAGATGGAAATAAAGTGTCCATCACTATTCTTGGTGTTAAATCTCTGCTGAGGTCACCGGAAAATAACAATAGAGCTTTAGAGACAAAACACAAGCCTGTGAGATACAATTTAAAAAAATATGTTAGCAAATAAACGCTGTACAAAAACCAGTTCAAATAGTACAAGAAGAGTCTGACCAAAGACCTAATGCCCTGCTTTAATGTACAGTAAATTTTAAAAATAATCACAAATGCCATAAAAGAGTTAGTTGAAGAAGGTAACTTGGAAGATGTCTAGAAAAAATAGGGAAGAATGAGTGTGAGCTCAAAGAAGAGGCCAGGAACTGGAGAAACAGCAGGGCTTGGAAGTGGGACCTGGGTCTAGGAGAAGAAAGGGCCCCCTGAGGCCCAAAACTGGGACCCAGAGTGTTAGACGGCAAAAGCCAATTGAGTGGGGGTAGGTGTGTTGATCCCACTGCCTACTCTGAGTGCCTAGTAGTAGGATTTGTGTCGTGATGGGTTGGTTCCCTTTAGTATCAATCACTGAGAACCGAACCTTTGCAAGGCCAGGGTTATATTTATTTCTTAGTGATTTCTAGTTTAAATGGGGATAATTTGTGATAAAAATATCATAAACTACTTTTCAACATTCTACCATCTGCATTTAAAGGTAATTTCCCTGTCATAACAGTAATATTTGATCCCTGCCCAAATTTAAATATGTCCAAAAAATTTAAAAAAGAAAACAAAATGTATTTACATTTGCATTACCCAAGTATAATTCTTTATTAGGGTTTTGACTTTACTTCCATTGTTTTTTTTTGCTTTGCATAAAAATGTAATGCAAAATTAAAATAAATTCCAATGGCATTGAATATACATCTTCCAGAATCATTTAAAAATAAAATCAAATGGATCTACCCAATTGTTATTAACCTATTCACTATCATTGAACATTTTAAATAGTTTACAGTTTTCTGATGCCATAAGCAATGCTAAAGCAAACATTAAGTATGTAAGTTTTTTTATTTGTTTGTTTGTTTGTTTTTGGTTTTGGAGAGGTTTTTGCTATAGGGCACGTGCACTCCCCAGAAAGACAGAGAGATAGAAAGCAAGAAATCACCCCCCAGGGGGGATGGCCACGCAGCAATCCCTTCTCCTCCATTCTCCTCTCAGGATCTTGGATACGCGCGCACACGCGCCCGGCATGAGTTTAAGCCACCAGGTCCGGGACTCGAACCATGGTCGGCTACATGGGAGTCCAGCGACATAGCCATTATGCTAACTGCTTGTCCCAAGTATGTAAGTTTTTATCTGCATTTCTGATTAACTCTGTAGAATAATATGCAGAAGTGTAAATACTTAGTCAAATGCTTTATGACATGAAGTTCCAAGCAGTTGCCTTTATCTATTAACAGGAAAAAGTCTCATCATGATAGACAAAGAAAGCATTGATACAATGTTATAATGAGGGTCCCAGGAAGATCTTCCCCCTGGAAAATATTTTTCTTATTGAAGCCTGAAATGGCACCATTAGCAATCCAGTCTTTGGAGGTAAGCATTGCCCCCGCGGGACAGGCTCCTTTAAAAGGCGAACACTCCCACCTGGGAACGCTTGTCATCTCTAATACGGTAGAACCTGCTTTCTTTCATCAGATCACCTCCCCCTTGCTCTCTATATTATGTCCTTCTATTTAAGTGGGACTTGCGGGGAGGAGAGAGTGGAGAGGACGTCCGGGATCCTGAGAGTGAAGAAAGGTGATGAAAGGCAGAGAGGAGAGAACCTGGAAGGAGATGGGGGTAACACGATGATCTATAAACAGCCAAAGCAGGCATAAAACCAAGCTCGAGAGATGCCAAACTTTTTTTAATTTTATTTATATATTTATTTTAATTTGACCAGAGAGGGACAGAGTGAATGAGAGAGAGAAATGGAAGGTAAGAAACCAAGCCACCAGGCCCAGGTCTTGAACCACAGTTGGCTATGTGGGAGTCCAGTGCCCTTAACCACCACATCACCAAACTTTTAAAGATACCCTTTCCCTGATTAGGTATTCAAAAATAACAACCTGAAACAACATCTAGTGTTAGTGGGGTTGTAGGAAAATGAATACTCCCATACACTCTTGTTGAGAATGTAAATGGATACAATTTTATGAAAGGCAATTCTGTTATTTATCAAAATTTTAAATGTGCTTTCTTTTTAGCCCAGCAGTCTTGCTGTTTGGAATCTATCTATAGAAACATTAAACAGGCATATAAAAATATAGGAAAAATATACAACGATGTTTATTAATATCAAAGCATTGTTTTATTAGAGTAAAAGTGAAAATAACCAATGCTTATTGATAAGGAATCAGATAAGTAATTTGTGATTATTTACACAATGGACAACTAAGTCCTTGGTGAACAGAATAAAATACACATTCTGACATTTTTTCTTTTTCTTTTTCTTTTTTTTTTTTTTAGTTTTGCTATAGGGCACATGACTTGCCAGAGGCAGAGAGAGAAGGAAAGTGAGAAATCACCCTCCCCCATACCCTGTCCCCAGGGAGGATGGCCATATGGCAATCCCTTCTCCTCCAATGTTCTTGAGACTTGAGGCTGCACACACATGTACCTGGCATGACTCTCAAGCTTCTGGGACTCCAACAGCGTGCTCAGCCATGTGGTATCCAGCACTTTAACCTCCACAACCACCTGACATTTTTTTAAAAATAGATTAAACTGGGGGCCAGCAGGTGGCATAGTGATTAAGGTGGTGGATTTGCACATGGCTGAGTGTAGTTTGAGTCCTGGACATGATGACTTGAAACTCACATCAGGCACAAGTGTGTGTGTGCCCAAAATCTTGAGAGGAGAATAGAGGACAAGGGATTGTAGTATGGTCATCCCCCCCGGGGGGCGATTTCTCACTTTCTCTCTCTCTGTCTCTCTCTGTGTCTCCAGGAAGCGCATGCACCCTATAGCAAAAATCTCTCTCTTTAAAAAAAAGATTGAACTGAAAAGTAAATGCAGTGTTGATCCCATACATGTTTATTTTTAAAGACAATCTATCTATACACACATGTATACATGCAAACATTAAAAAGCCTAGAAAGTCTAAAATGTCTAGAAGGTTGGTCCCAGCTCTTAAAGTGATCGTGGGAGGAGGGAACAGGTAAAGAGGGAAAACAATATTTTCCTTCTAGCCTATGTACTCTCAATTTTTTTACAGCAATCAGATGTTACTTTTATAATTAAAAAATAAAAACTGGGCCAGCCTCATAGCCTAGTGGTTAAAGGAGGCAGTTCCCATGTGGCAGAGAGCACATTTGAATCCTGTACCCAGTGCTTAAAAAAACACACCAGATGGGGGCCAGCAGGTAGCATGGTGATTAAGGCATTTGACTCCTATGTGGCTGACCATGGTTCGAATCCTGGACCCAGTGGTTTGAAACTCTCATTGGGTGCATGTGCATGCATGCCCAAAATTCCAACAGGATAAAGGAGAAGGTATTGCTGCATGGCCACCTCCCCACCCCACCCCACCCCTGCCAAGGGGTGATTTCTTGCTCTCCCTTTCTCTGTGTCTCTCAGATGAGTGCACGCACCTTATGGCAAAAACCTAAAAAATAAACAAAAAACAAACCATGCCAGACAAGTGTGCACACATGTCCAAAATCCAGACAGGATGGAGAAATGGAGGAGAAGGAATTATGGTTGACTATACTGGGTGGTGCGTCCTCCCTCTCCCGCTCTTTCTTTCCCCTCCCCTCTCTCTCTCTCTCTGGCAAATACAAGCACCCTCTGGCAATTTAAAAGAAAAGAAAAGTAAAA